CTCCTGTACCCACACTGAAAACCCAGAAGAAACTCCAGATTCCTGGCTTTGGATTGACCAAGCTCCAGCCACTGCAGCCATTTGGGGAGTGAACCAGTGAATGGAAGATCTTTCTCTCTCTCTCCCTTCCTCCTTCTCTCTGCAACTCTGCCTTACAAGTAAAAATAAAATTAAATCTTCAAAAATAAATAATAAAATAAAACAAGGGGATACCACTATATATACCTACTAAAATGGTCAAATTCCTCAATGCTAACAAGTTACAATTCTTGCAAGGACACAAGCAACAGGAATTTTCATTGACTGCTGGTAGTAACGCAAAATGGTTCAGTCACTTTGCAGGGTTCTAGGGGATGTGGGGGTGCAATGACTACATATTATCAAGGAATCCATTTTTATGACTGTCATGAAGCTCAAGGTGTTAACATTGACATGGGTTTTAAAAGGATGTAATGTCACTCTATTCCGAACTCTCTGATTGTAACTGGTCTTCCTTCTTAACCTCACCCAAAACCCCAGACTGACAAGGTTCCAATCCCTGCCTTCCTATTCCTGGCCCAGGTCAAGCATGTAGGAGGCTTTTTCAGAGGAGAACACGACTTTGTCTTCCCAGAAGATAGCCCTCCAACTCACTTTATGAGGCAGATAGCAGCCATAGCCACAGATAGGCTGGGGCCTGCGCAGGCCTCAACAGGTTCAGTCACTTTGGGAGACCATTGGATGGTTTCCTTCAAAACAAATTCTTTCACCAAATCCAGTAAGTATGTTCCCTGGTATTTACCTGAAGAAGTTGAAAATTTAGAAACTGCACACAGATATCTATAGCAGCCCTATTCATAACTCCCCACACTTGGAAGCAACCAATGGCATGCTCAGACAATGAAATATTTAAAAGGAATGTGTTAAAAAAAAAAAAAAAAGTGGGGCAGGCAATTACCCAGGCAGTTAAGAAGCCTGCATCCCAAATCAGTGCTCCTGACTCTGCTCCCTTCTAACCCTCACTCTGGAGGGAGGCTTGGGGGACAGTTCAGCGTCCTCCACTCCATGTTGGAGCCACGTGCTGAGGACCCAGCTGGCAGCATGAGCCCAGGACAACCCAGCTTTCAGGGATGTGGGCAACGAACCAATGGATACAAAAGGATTCTCCTGCCCTCTCTACCTCTCAAATAAATAAACCATGTATCTTTAAATGTGTTAAAAAGATGTGGAAGAAATATAAATGAATATTAACTGAAAAGTCAACTTGAGAAGGCTACATACTCTGATTTCATCTGCATGACATTCTAGAAAAGGAAAAACTATGCAGACAACAAAAAGATCAATGCTTTCTATCCTTCCCACCCTGATCAAACATGTAATCATTACTTAAAAAAAAAAAAAAAGATGAATGGTTGCAGACAGCAGCAGTCCAGACCAGGGACGCCCCAACACCCAGTGAGCACTGACAAGGTGCTCCATGGGGATGGGCCCCTCGGGTGAGGGACGCTGACAGGGAGGGCAGCTGAAGAAATGTGGGAATCTGCTCCATTTTGCTGTGAACAAAAACCAACCTAAAAAAGGTATCTGTTGCAATACACAAATAAACAAAAATAAAACACTTCGGACTGGTCCTAAGGGTATATAGCAAAAAAAGCATTCGTTCCTGAGAATTTACTAAAATGTGTAAATAAATAAGTTCACCTCAGCAAGCAGGCAAATTCACAAATACAGAATCCACAAATCATGGAATTTTGAATTTGTTTTTCTCAAAAAGAATTTTTGAGAATTTTTTGGGTGGATTTTCTTTTTCTTTCTAATTCTAGTATTAAAATAACTCATTATAACATGCCAGGTTTTACCAAAAGATTTATTTATTGTTTTTTTTTTTTTAAGATTTATTTTTATTATTTTTTCATTGGAAGGGCGGATATACAGAGAGGAGAGACAGAGAGGAAGATCTTCCGTCCAATGATTCACTCCCCAAGTGAGCACAACGGGCCGATACTATGCCGATCTGAACCCAGGAGCCTCTTCAGGGTCTCCCACGCGGGTGCAGGTTCCCAAAGCTTCGGGCCGTCCTCGACTGCTTTCCCAGGCCACAGGCAGGGAGCTGGAAGGGAAGCAGGGCTGCCGGGATTAGAACCAGCGCCCATATGGGAACCCGGGCGTGCAAGGCGAGGACCTTTAACCACCTGCGCCACCGCACCGGGCCCTATTTATTGTTTTTTAATTGCATAGTCAGATATACAGAGAGGAGGAGAGCAAGATCTTCCATCCACTGAATCACTCCCCAAGTGGCCGTTATAGCCAGTGCTGAGCTGATCTGAAGCCAGGAGCCAGGAGCTTCCTTTGGGTCTCCCATGCAGGTGCAGGGGCCCAATGGTTTGGGCCGTCCTCGACTGCTTTCCCAGGCCACAAGCAGGGAGCTGGGTGGGAAGTGAGGTTGCTGGAATTAGAACCAGCACCCATATGGGATCCTGGCACATGCAAGGTGAGGACTTTAGCAGCTAAACTACCGCACTGGGCTTGTGCCAGATTTTTAAAAATGACCAATGTCTAATTAAAGCAAGAGATGAAATGTGTGCAATTAGAAAGGTTAATAAATCAGTGTTGAAGGAGACTGTTACTCTGTGGAGCTCACCTTTTATGAGATCAGATAAGTTATTCTGTTCCACGTTTTTCTTTGCATAGTTGAAACACATATCATCCACTTCTGTTGCAAGGAAATACCAGCCATTTAAGGTTGCTCCAAGTAAGGGATAGATGCAGGATGCTCCAGTTCCTAGTAAAACGAAAACTCAGGATATATTCATGTAGCGGAGGAAAAGGCAAGAAAGACAGTGGAAACACTGTTCTTCCTCTCAGAATTAGTACAGTTTGCGCAGCTGAAATCACAACCAACCTTGTGGCTTATGGGTCAGGTTCTTCAGCTGTTTCCTGTATATTTGTCTTCCCTTGGAATGAGATTCAAATTTCCTAGAGGATAGAAAGTCTGCTGCCTTCATTTTTTTTTTTTTTACTATGTTGTATGTTAAAGGAACTACATAGAGCTGAAGGTTGAGAAATATATGGCTAATCAAAAATAGTGAAAATTCAAGTTACTTGATAAAAAGTCTTCATTTTAAATTCACACAGAACTCAACTTTTCTTAAAAGAAAATCAAAGCTCTTTGTTAGAACAGATCAACATATGTCTCATTCTCCAAACGAGGGAAAATCATACATAATCCAAAATGATCATATTAACTGACCTAGTCCCCAAAGTTCTCTTGTCCCATGAAAGAAGTCTGAAGTAAAAAAGAAAAAAGAAAGAACTTACTTCTTAAATGTGACAGAAACACCAGGCATTGGCTGGCTCCCAGGACAGCTCCAAGTGAGCTACTCACAGGCAAACCAGAAAATCACTTTCTGACAACCAACGATTGGTCCTGAACTTGTGGGTAGATTCGCTGGTTCTGGATTTGACTACACATTAACCACAAACACTGCTTTGATGACCATTGGCTAACGTGGGACAGTTAGAGCCTACAGAGCAGAGTGTGCCAGCAGAAGGCCAGTTTCCCCCCAGCCACACCTGGCCTAGCCGTCTAAGGCTCTGACAGGCTGAAGTAGAACATAGAGATGCTCCTCAGACACGGAAACCCAGGCTCCCCTCGGTTTCCTTAGGAGCTGTCCTGAACAGGCAGGCTAGGGAAGATGACACAGCTCCCCGAGTTACACTGACTCCTGCACAGCTGCCACGAGAGCCTAGTTCTCCTGGCCTGCTGCCTCACATGGGGACTTGTGACATGCAGAGAGGGTAACAGCTACTCAAGCACTTCTCAAAAGCCATAGTGTTTTTTTTTTTTTTTTTTTTTTTTTTGCTCCAGCTGGCCTTTCTGCTGAGCCACTGTCATCCAGAGTAGGAGGAAAACCCAGGCCATATCCCAGGGCCTTGACCCCTCACACAGCCAACTCTCTCTTCATACTTCAATTGCATTTCAAAGAAAAAAAAAATACATATAGTATCTCCAGGGAAACAAATGCTGGTAAAAGTTTGTCTGCCCCGCATCCTCAGAGCTTCTGAATTCTGAAGACCAAAAGACTTGTAGGCTAATATTCCAATGCCCTTAGAAAGTCAAATGACATTTTAAAATTGGGTAATAATTTTGTAGTGATAAATAAAAATGGAAACTAGCTAATCATAGAATTAGAGCAAACTGATGGAGTCTGGGGGAAGATTTTATATAAAACCCTAATTAGAATGAATGTGATTTCAGCAAGTAATGCCCCTTGTGAAGAGCTGGAATCCATTAACCTTCCATGTCCCCAAGTGTTTTTTTTTTTTTTTTTTGAGGGTCTGGGGCACAATTAAAATCAAATTAATACCAAACAGGTTGTCAAGCTTTTTAAGCTTTTTAGAACTCATCCTCTAGTCTTCTGTCATGATTGTAAAAGGGTTAAAGCCCACGGTGATGTTTACAAAGTACTGAGTTCAGAGGAAATGCTCGTAATTTCTTTGTTTTTCAGATTTTGGAAAGGTAGGTGTACATAGAGAAGGAGAGACAAAAAGATTTTCCTTCCACTGGTTCACTCCCCAAATGGCTGCCATGGCAGAACTGAGCCAATCCAAAGCCAGGAGCAAGAAGTTTTTCTGGGTCTCCCACATGGGTGTAGGGTCCCACGGCTTTGGGCCATCTTTGACTGCTTTCCCAGGCCACAAGCTGGATGGGAAGTGGAGCAGCCAGGACACGAACTGTCAACCATATGGGATCCTGGCACTTGCAAGGTAAGGATTCATTCACTGAACCATCAGGCCAGGCCCCAGAATTCTCAATGTTAAAAGAATGACATATTTATTCAGCAACACTCAACAAATTGTTTCCTAGATACTTGCTTTGTGCCTGAAATCTTGCTAGGCCTTGGATTAGCATACACAGCAAGGAAACAAAATAAAAGGCTCTGTGCTTTGCAACCCAGTGGCAGAGAATGGCACTAATCATATAATCAGACAAATGAAAACACAGCTGAAAATGAATGAAGGTGCTCGCTTCGGCAGCACATATACTAAAATTGGAACAATACAGAGATTAGCGTGGCCCTATGCAAGGATGACACGCAAATTCGTGAAGTGTTTCATATTTTTACTTTGCCAGCTCAGCTTTCAAACCAAGAGATAGTCTTCCCAAGAAACTGTTGAATTTATCTGGACAATAAGATGCTGGACTCTACGCAAGATACATGTTTGCAATGAAAGAATCAAGACTGGTTTTGATCTGTAATACTGTAACAAGGTGGAGGAATCCACCATGGGGGGAGAGCATGGGGAGGGGTTGGGGGAATCCCAGAGCCTATGAAACTGTGTCACAAAATAAAATAATAATAATTTAAAAAAAAATGAAGGAAGGAAAAAAAAACAGCTTTCTGAAATCTTGTTAACTCAAGAACTCATCTTGGGCTGTACTGTCAAGAAGAAAAGGCTTTTTTGAAAAGGCAAAGCTTCAGACAAGAATTAAGGTACAGCATACCATGAGAATGAACACAGTGAAGTGGGAAAGTCCCAGGCTCAGGAAACAACATAAACAAAGGCTTGGGATCAAGACAGCTTTAATAGAACTTTTAAAACACACTATAGCAAACAAGGGTAAGAATCTCAAAAGATGAGGCTACCGGAAGATTGGAGATGCGAACAGGATCAGACACCAGAATCGTAACAACGCCCTGTCCAACTTTCAGAGGTTCATCATAAAAGCTGCAGGATGCCATCAAAGTAGGAAAAGATGTGATCAAACACAGATGTAGGTATCTTTCCTAGATGGAATGCAGAGAATGAAATGGAGCAACAACATGGTTGATGAAAACAGACTAGTTGAGAAGCTACTATGAAGACAAGATGGGAGACAATGGTGATTCAGACTGAGTTGGTGGCAGACAGAGAGCAGATAATTCAAGAAACAGATCGGGGGCCTGGCACAGTAGCCTAGCGACTAGAGTCCTGGCCTTGCACGAACAAGGATCCCATTTCAGCGCCAGTTAAAATCCTCTTTGCTCTGCTTCCCATCTAGCACCCTGTTTGTGGCCTGGGATACTGCACCCGCACAGGAGAACTGTAAAGAGGTTCCTGGCTCCTGGATTCGGATTGGCTCAGCTCTGGCCGTTGCAGCCACTTGAGGAGAGTTTCCTCTGTATCTCCTCCTCTCTGTATACCTGACTTTCCAATAAAGATATTTAAATCTTTTTTTTTTTTTTTTTAAGATTTATTCATTTTATTGGAAAGTCAGGTATACAGAGAGGAGAAACAGAGGAAGATCTTCTGTCCGATGATTCAGCAGCAAAGGATGATACAGGTGCTTAGGTCCCTGACATAGGTGGGAGACCCAGTTAGAGTTAGCCTCCTGGTTTGGGCCTGGCCTACCCCAGTTATTGCAGCAATTTGAGGAATAAACCAATGGATGGAAGATTCTCTCTCTGTCACTTTGTCTTTCAAATAAATAATGCCAAAACAAACGAAACAAAGAAATCAACTCCAACATCACCTTAGAGAGAATAATCAGCAGAGCTAGTGACAGCCCTTCTCCGTGAGAAGTGGGGGAGGGAATGTCCAGATGACCAGATGGACTGTGAAGGGGTCACTGAAAGAAGGAATAAAGGAAGCCAACAGCAATCAGTAAGAGCTATGGCGTTGGTTTTGGACATGGCAAGTTTGACATGTTTTAGAGATATTCGGGTTTCTCGCATAAATGAGTAACAACAAAAGTCATCTGGTTAAGAGAATCTATAAATACATGACTTATTTGCCCAGAAATGGGAAATAATGTCATCAATGTGAATGAAGCTGCCAGAGTACGGTGCTAAAAGAGGCAGAGGCTACAGACAGAGACTAAGTAAGCATTATCAATAGGAGATGGTCAGATACAGGAAAATATGCCTGAAAAGTGGAGAAAGAGCAGCAATAAAAAGGAAAAACAGAAAGTCTGGGGTCATGGGAGAAAATGGAGGCAAGGGCATGAAAGAGACAGGTGGGTTCAATAAATGATGCTGAGGGGCCTGTGATCCCATACGGGCACCATTTCGAGTCCCAGCTGTTCCACTTCTGATCCAGCTCCCTGCTAATGTGCCTGGGAAAGCAGCAGAAGATGAGCCCAGGTACTTGTGTCCCCGCACCCCTGTGGAAGGCCTGGGTGAAGGTCTTGCCTCCTGCCTTTGGCCTGGTCCAGTGCTACCTGTTGCGGCTATCTGCGATATAAGGCAATGTATAAAAAAATCCCTCTTTCTGCCTCTCCCTCTCTGTAACTCTATCAAAAACAGATAAATAGAACACAAACAAACAGGTAATTAAAACTGCAGAAAAGGTTGTGAAAGAACAGTAAAAATGTACATAAATGTCAAAAATAAACACAATTACTAACCAGAAATTGTGAAGGCTATTAACTATACTAAAGTTATATTTACATAGACAGCTGCTAATTCAGTTCATCCTAAAAGAAAAATAAAGGACAAAAAACTAAAAGAGCAAATGCAAAACTCAAATGAAAACATTGGCCATAACAAACACGTATCCATAATCACAAAGCAGACCCTGGCCTCATCTCCTCTGTATCTCCACTTACTCTCCTAAATGAATCAAACAGACTATCTTCTCTACTTATTACTTTACCTTCCTGCCTTTTTCTCCATATTCTTCTTCATCTTTTTCTCCATCTTTTTTAATGCTGTGTTTTTATTTTTTATTGGAAAGCCAGTTACACAGAACGAGAGCCAGAAAGATGCTCTATATGCTTGTTCACTCCTCAAGTGGCCACAATGGCCAGAGCTGAGTCAATCTGAACCAGGAGTTTTGTCTGGGTCTCCCACCTGGGTGCAGGGTCCCAAGGCTTTGAGCCATCCTCTACTGCTTTCCAGGCCACAGGCAGGGAGCTGATGGGAAGTGGAACAGCCAGGATATGAACCATTGCCCATATGGGATCCTGCCACATGCAAGGCAAGGACTTTAGTCACCATGCTACCACACCAGGCCCCTTTTTCTCCTTTTAAATTCATATTAAGTATTCTCTACAGAAAAATCATAAGAGATTCCTGAAAACATTCAAGCTCACATAATCTTTTATTACATGGCCATCACATCAAAAATAAAACAACTGAAGTAGTGTACTATGATCAAATAACCCGGAGCAAAGACAATGCCCCGGAGACCAAGACATCACTGTGGCCATCCAGAAAGCTACGTCAACAAGAGCCTCACTTGAGGTGGCACTGTAATGATGCCCTTGCTCTGTTTGGAGTGGACACCCCCTAGCCCCAGGAGAGAAACAAATGGCAGAGGGCGCAGGTGCTGCCAACTAGACTTAACAACCGCTGGAGGCATTCCTCACAACAAATACCCAGCAGAAGACCAAGGAGCTTACACAGAAGCTGTACACATGTCCAACTAAAAAAAAAAAATCTTAAATTCTATACCGATGTCAATCCCTCTGCGCAGAGTGCTTCTGTCAGAGTCCTGGTGACCAATCAGATCTTCTACCCAGTGAATGTAGTTGAGCCGCAAGGGAACTGTGGGAATGAGTCTCTCCACTGGAATATCAATAGAAAGTCCAAAATCTTCCCTTAGGAGAGTACAGGTCAGTGCTCGCACTGCTTCAGGGTCTTTAAAATTAAGACTGAAAGGTAGAAGAAGAAACATGGATTAGTGAGAGTCACTAGGCTGCATGAGCCCGAGGGCGGTCACGCGATACCCAATGCATGTTTGAATTTTCTGGAGTGATCACCCAGCATCACACGGAGCACTTGGCACAGTGGCACAAACACAGCAGTGGCACAGTCACAGCATACGGAAGGCAACACAATCTTCCACCTACAGCACTGCATTACCCACATACCGAGCAGAGACTGAATGATTCCATTCAAATTCCCATCGGATTATCCTCTCGCTTAGCTAGCTAGGTGACTGTGGACAAGTGAACTGAGCTTATGTCACAGTGCTGGTGCCAGTTAATCACAAAGCACAGTGTCTGGTATATAGTAATTATTTCCCAAATGCTGGTTTATTTTTGTTTTTGTTAATGTTACCATTAACAACAATTGACACTAGAATTCTTCAAAGATCATACCTAAAAAGAAGTATAAAAATATTCAATAATAAGAACAGAATCAGAACTTGAAAAAAAAAAAACCTTCTTAGAGATCAAATTTAAAATGTATGAACTTACAAACTATACAATTCACCTGCAGGGATGTACGTGAACACGTCCTGGTACATCACCATCACAACCCAGTTTGAGATCACTCCCATTCCCTTCCATTCCCAAGCTTCAGTAACCACTGTGTGTACTAACACTGTAGATGAGCCTTTTCAGGACATTTCATATCACTAATCACATGACATGTGGTCTCTGCAGTTTGGATTCTCTGAAACTTAGTACAATGTTTTTGAGGTTCGTCTATGTTGCAGCATGTATCAGTGCTTCATTCCTTTTTATATCTAAGCAACTAGTCCAAGCGTGGATGACCCCAGGCTTGTTTATTCATTCACCAGCTCATACATACTTGGACTGCTCGCACTTTTGGCTACTATGTATAAGGCCGTTATGAACACTAATACACAAGCCTTTCTATGGACACGTTTTCATCTCTTTAGAAACTCACTGAGGAATTGATCATGGAAATGCTCAGGTTTTACTACTTCGATGTTAAAATTCTGGTAAGCTAGGCCTGGAGTGGCAGCCTAGTGGTTAAAGTCTTCACCTTGCATGTGCCAAGATCCCATGTGGGTTCTGGTTCATGTCCCATTGGCCCCACTTCCCATCCAGCTCCCTGCTTGTGGCCTGAGAAAGCAGTCAAGGATGGCCCAAAGCCTTGGGATCCTGCACCTGTGTGGGAGACCTGGAGAAAGCTCCTGGCTTCTGGCTTTGGATTGGCTCAGCTCCAGCCATCGTGGCCACCTGGGAAGCAAAACAGAGGATGGAAGATCTTCCTCTCTGTCTCTTCCTTTCTGTCTATCTAACTTTCCAATAAAAATAAAAATAAAATCTTTAAAAGCAAAATTCTGCTAAGCTGAAAATCTTAGAAAAGAAAACTGAGGCAGGTATCTGACCCAGTAGTTAAGACGTCACTCGGGCTGCTCATATACCACATCACAGTGCTTGGGGT